TATATATATTGCCTTGATTTGGCTTCGTGTTCAGTAGATTTCCAAGTGGGACTGACTTTAGCTCTGCTAAGATAGTCTAACGTTTCGTCTGGGTCTGTACCCTAGCTACAATAATGTGGCCTATGAGGCCGATGAAATGTCAAGATTTGTGAAATCAATTTTATTGCACTAAATTAATCTTTATTTATCTGTATGTCTTATCTTTGCATATTTTTGTATTACTGTATTGTATATTTATGCTTTCATATTTATGAATAAAGATGAGTAGCTGGTATTCGGTAAGCAGAAACAAAACATTAGTGTTTGCAATTCTTAAAAAAAGAATACAGTTTAGCTTTCTTGCATTTTCTGTATCTGTTAATATTTAAATTCCTTATTTCAGTTCACATTCAGTAGAAGTAAGCCCGCCATACAATGGAATACATACATTTTCTCTTATTTCCTACCTTCATCACTGAGTAATGGCAGCGTCGCGATTGCTGTTCTAAATCCGTCTAAAACAGCTTTAGTGTAGAAAACACCAACGCGATCCCAAATATCACAGTGTTTGTCTATTCTAATTCGAAACGAATTGTACGAATCTGCATCATCCTTATACCAGGCCTTAGTGTTTGAAGGGAAAAGTGTACTTGCAATTGTTTCTGCTCTGTTTTCCTCTGTGAATTCCGTTCTAGCTTCCGGCGTCTCATCGTAGCGGGTCCCATACAATGGGGACAGTGCTATGCCAATATATAATTCTTCAGATATGTCAGGATGAATAACTGCATTGATAATGTCACAGTCTTTATTTGATTTGACTGCCGCATAATTTGTGTAACCTACAAAGTCAATTACATCCACCTGTTCAGCAATTATACCTAAAAAAATAATATGCGGTTGCTATTATATAAACAATAAATTATAAAACCAAACATAACAAGTTACAGATACCAATAATTGTCAATACCAATAATTGTCAGAATTAAAAGAAAGTACTTTTGAAGAATCTCGTTTGTATTAGCAGTACATAAATTCGTTTTGGTAAATACCACGACGATTGTTTTTATTTAACTCTACCAATGGCTGGCTGTTTAATCTAATGACTGTATACAGATATACAGTACTGCGAGATCATCGACACTTAGGCCAATGCTTTGTATTTGAGATCCTCTGAAACGCCAATTTCAAAAGTTAGAGGTTGATAAAATAATATATAATATATTAGAATCTTACCAAACAATTGCTTCCAAAGTAGAAGTGTGCCAATAACGATCTGTTAAAAAAAAAGATTATTCTACTCCACTATTTAAATAAAATATAAATTAATTATATAAAGTTCACTTTATATACTGGATGTGACAGCTTACTTAGGCGTAGTAACATTAAAAGAGATATAACAACAGTGTTCAAATAAAAAAGGGTTCTCGGAACTCGAACCTGCAACCTTCCGCTACCAAGATGAGTGCCTTATTGCCAGACCACATAGACAATATAAGGGAAAAAATTAAATTATTGTTTTAAATCGAATCACTTTTGGGGTTAACATTTCGATATTTCGTGAACATACAAACTCACTGAAATGGTACGCGCTCCACTTACCAACTGTATTACTCCGCTACCTTCCACTGTACCAACCTAAATTTGCATAACGAATTCTGCAATATCTTGCTTTTGTAGTGACAAGTCCTCGTTCAATGTTTTGTAGGTTCGTGTTAGAGTAAAATATACACAGAGGCACAATTTATTTATAGGGCAACATTTGTTGAGAGCTATGCTACACGATGTATTATCATATCCTTTATTTGAACACTGTATTTACCTTTCTTTGATGATTTATATATAATTTAACAGTGTTAACGGCTATCTTGATCTATATTACAGTATATGCTATTATTTTTTCCAGCCGTACCTATTGTGTAATAGAGTGTATCTGACGTTAGTTGAATCTGCGCAACCACGAAGCCTTTATGGTCTAATGCTACGGTCGGCAACCTTTTACTCCTTAGTACCCATTTATTTATTTATTTATTCTATGTTTTTGTTATAGCTGCCCACGGTCCAAGACCTAAAGTGTTTTTTTTTTTGTTTTTTTTTTTTTTAGAAAAAAAATAGAAATGTCGTCCAAAATACTAAATGTACGACTACAGCACAACTCTAATTTGGGACACCCCTATTCAGGAGACAGTTTTTCGTGAAATTGAGAAAATTATTTCTTTTAGCACTATGACCTCTCCTTTAATGGTATGGGAACACTGTCCGGGTGTGCCAAATGGTAAAATCGATGCATATGCAACCCATAGTAAGGTGATACTTAATTTGTTTTCATTGTTCAATATCGCAAAAACTACACCAGTCTAAAACAAAATATCTTTCAAATTTATATGTTGACACGTTTTGAGCAAGAAACTTCACAACAAACCAGAATGTTTCCCCTGAATCCTTAGTGTGAGCATCACTAGGCCTACTCCAAGCACTATTGTCTAATTTACCCCTCACCATGGGGATTTCCTTTTCTGTGTGTGCTTTCATATAGGATTCTAATCTATAGCATAATGTGCACGTTACTCTATTCATGCTATATGCATCCAATAGAAAGCTCAATATTTAAAAAAAGAATATTTGGTCATTAAATTTGCATTCACTTGGGAACATAATATAATAACTATTTTAGTTTTAACTAGGTCTACATTACTGCTGATTTCACATTCAAATGCATTTTGCATTGCAAATTATTAATATAAATTAGTTATAATTCTACTGTAACTCATTTTTAGGTCAATAAAAATATAATTTTATAATTTTGAAAACATTAGACCAACACCCACAATAAGGGTAGAATTTCACGCTTTGGTGTCCCCTGAATAGGGGTCGGACTTCTACACCTATTAACGGGTCTCGAAGGTATTTATAATAGGGGTTATATCGAGGTATTGTAGTGTCTCGTAACAACAATATGATATTTTGATAATAATTACCTAAACAGCTTTTCAATTTTATGTTCATGATGTGTTGATGTGTAGCAAACAGACCCTACGTAATGCACTCTCTTATTGTAAAAGAGTGAAAATGTCACTCTTCACTTGGAGTGAAACGGTTTTCACTCCAAAAGAGTGACATATCACGGGGTCCGGTGTACCACCAAAAGTCATGTCATATCCCTGTTCTACAGCCAAAACTTAGTCTAAATATCAATTTTCATTTAATTATTTTTATTCTATTTGAAGATATGGCTAACTGAAAATGCAACTTTACAAATGTCGTTGAGAGTTAAAAAGGGGTATGACCCAGAAATTTCAAATGGCCGTAACTTCTAAACGGCTTAGAAATTGGCAAGTCAATTTTTAGGTTTGTTCGTTAGACATGTTGGTATATCATAACCGAGTTTCAAGAAAATCTGAGACGGAGGCCTACCCAACCAAGATTTTCTGAAAATTTGTTGAGTTGGCATGGAATGACCCATTTATCATTTCTTGTATTTTTGCAGATTGGCATAAACGTGGACAATTTAGCCAGAGAGAAAAAATGGAAATACATGCAACCATTTATACTGTCTGTTGGTCCAGCAACAAAACTGAAGCAGTTTTTTTTAATTATTATTATTATACAGTATATACTGTATGACCATGTAGCTATAAAAGCTGGCTCGACGATGGTGGCAGCATTTGATCAGGAATTCAAAGTTTTCTACGCTTTCAACATCGCATTCCCGCGCTGCCTACATGCATTTTATGCACATTTTTTTAGCCGTAGCGTATGGTTGCACAAATGTTGTCCACCCAGGTGCGAGCATTTACTGCGATTTCGACTACTACATTCTAATGTGCCCTTGGATTCTGATTTATGTTGTTTGGGAAAGACATTCTCAACCGGATTTGCTAATTCTTTCAAACTATTATTGTCGGACTCGTTTGTTGGTGCCAGGCATGCTATAAAGCCTACTATCTGATCTTTCCTACTTTGACAAAATCTCTGTGTGTATGCAAGTATTATGCCCATATACTACTACCTTATTAAAAGAACCTAAGTTGTCAAGTTAGTTATTTTACCTAGTAGTAGAGAATACATCTTGCCAATAACCGTCAACTAACTGTTTAGTATCAGGAAGAGAATACATTTATAAAACTCGCATGTTGGGAACTTAAACACAAAGTAACCAAGGAGTACAGCTGTTGCTGGTTTTAAAGGTGAGGTACGCATGGGTCGATTATACACGGATCTGTTTCACGTAAAGTAAAGTTAATGCGACAACATAGTATTAATCGTATTATGGCACACTGTACGATCACAAACTGTACCGACCGTTAAATATAATTAGTAAGTAATATTACTGCTTGAACTTGTAGAATAATTTTTTTTTATTCAATTGAATTAAATTAACTGCAATCAGATGTTTCCTTACAAGAAATATAATAAGCATGCCATATTACTGAAAATGTAATATTTGTGAGTCAAATTAAGAGTATCAAATGTCCATGCCAATACCAATTTAAACTAGTGCAGTCAAACCACAGTGTGCATAGCTCCACCCTGTGCCTGGTTACCGAACAATACGTACGCACTAGGCCGTGTATGGGCGATTTAATTAATTTACTTTATGCTCGAGGATAAGTTCAATCAATCAATCAATCAAACAATAAGAATTCAATTAATCAATACAAATTTATTTCCAAAGTAAACAAAAAGATCCAATAAGAACAGGTTACGATATCAAATAAATTTAAAAATGGAAAAGGGATGACAAAATATGCCCAAACTAAAGTAAATAAAAATTGCTAACTTAGTAATAACGTTAAAAAAATATATTGAAAAAATACATTTATACATTATATACAATTACATATATATATATATATATATATATATATATATAATTATATATATATATAATGTTTGTAGGTTC